GTCATTCTTTGTGTACAAGATACATATAAACTTTAACAAAATCTTACCAGTGTTTGTGAGGAATGTGCAGAGTTACCATATTTTTGTTGTATAAATGTTGTATAAATGCTGTAAGGGTTAATTGATTTAATCAATTACCTATGAGCAGCACTTACATTGATTAGTGTCTCACAAACTAATTAGTAAATGAAAATTGCAATGAATTGATTATTGTCCCAAAAATAATCAACTAATCAAAATTAGTGTTTCCAATTACTGCAGTGTTTGATTATCCAACAATTGATTATTATTAAATCACATGTCACAAAAATAATCAACTATTACAAGCTAGGGTTTCCAAATATTTACTGTTTTCATATATTACAACTGTTGAAATAATCAACTAATCAAAATTAGTGTTTCCAATTACTGCAGTGTTTGATTATCCAACAATTGATTATGATTAAATCACTTGTCACAAAAACAATCAACTATTACAAGTTAGGGTTTCCAAATATTTACTGTTTTCATATATTACAACTGTTGAAATAATCAACTAATCAAAATTAGTGTTTCCAATTACTGCAGTGTTTGATTATCCAACAATTGATTATGATTAAATCACTTGTCACAAAAATAATCAACTATTACAAGCTAGGGTTTCCAAATATTTACTGTTTTCATATATTACAACTGTTGAAATAATCAACTAATCAAAATTAGTGTGTCCAATTACTGCAGTGTTTGATTATCCAACAATTGGTTATGATTAAATCACTTGTCACAAAAACAATCAACTATTACAAGTTAGGGTTTCCAAATATTTACTGTTTTCATATATTACAACTGTTGAAATAATCAGAATATTGCCATTTTGTTTATTTGTTGTTAAACACAGAGATGCACATTTGGGAGAGGGGGGGCTTCATGATTTCAATTGTATTCAGGTTCGATTCCCACTACTATTAGCTTATCCTGTCACTAAATTTGTACTACTGACTAGAGTGAAGGCACTGACTACTAATTAAATTATTTGGGTACTTCAATGTTCAATAAAGTGAAACTTTACTTTATTTAAATTTTTCAGTTGTTTTATGTTTCTCATTGAAACTGTTATTAAATGTTATTTTTATGTTTATTCGATCCAAATGTGCAAAGATAAACTGACTACTTAATTATTTCTAATTTCAACTGTGATATATAATTGTTACGTATCTGCTCGTTTGTTATTTTCTGGTATAAATTCTTTAGTTTTAGTATATAATCTATCAGTCTTGTCCTGTTTAATAGTTGAAAGTTGCACTTTCCTCTCACATAGACTCTATGTGTACTTGCCATTTTACACTTAGCTGTTGGGACTTTCACAATGGGGGTTGGTGGGTGTGCCTCAACACCAACCACTACTGGTTTCCCGAAGCTGACTTATTGGTGGTATTCTTCATAAACTGGCTCCCCATAGGTCCTTGCTCTCCACAGTTCCAACAACCTTTCTGGGTAGCAGCCTTTCCTGCCATGGCATCTTCCCTATGTTGAAGTTGCCAGCATTGAGCTTTCTTGTGCCCAGGTTTGTTACAGTGCCAGCAAAGTCCCTCAAACCTCTCTGATAGCTGACCTATTCTGGCTTTGAATCCTGATGACTGGTTTTCCTGCAACTGCTGTAGTCTCTCTTCTTGTTCAATTTCTCGTTCTTCTTGTTTATTTTCTTTTTCCTCCAACAACTGCTGTAATCTCTCTTCTTGTTTATTTTGCTGCTCGAGCTGCCATTGTTGCAGGTTTTCTTGCCACTGCTGTAATTTCTCTTCTTGTTTCTTTTCTTTTTCCTCCAAAAACTGTTGTAATATATCTTCTTGTTTCTTTTCTTTTTCTTCCAACAACTACTGTAATCTCTCTTGTTTATTTTCTCGTTTTTCGTGCTTCTTTTCTCTTTCCTCCAACAACTGCTGTAATCTCTCTTGTTTCTTTTGTTGTTCTTGTATTGCTGCCATCAAATCTGCTAAGCTGTAGTTTGATTTGCCATTTCTCTTTTCCATTTTTTTCTGGCCCACTCTCTGACACCAATTTGTTACGTCTCTGGTCGTATGTTAATTTCCCATATACTTTCTTTTGGATGAAACTTTAGCAATACAAGTCTTTTCATAAATAAAACTAGTTTATTCTTTCTCAATACAACTTTGCAATACACTTAATTTCTACAGTTACTTTAACTTAAACACACGCTATAATTCACAACGATTCACGCACTTTACTTATGGTCACTACTGCGCTTGACTTAATTGTCCATCTCTATCTTTGCCTGTCTGCAATTATCTATGCCCTCACTTCTTGCCGGTTTTATATATACAAAATAGAGGGCGTCTGGCAAACACTCGAGCCTTCAGGATTCTTCTAGATACTCATTACGTGTTACCAGCGTCACGTGACTTCCGCTGTCGTAACAATATTTTTAAGTGTGTTTTCGTTGACCTTGAAACATCCAATATCTTCATAGAATTTCCTTTTGCTTCATCCTTCCCAAGAGTTATTATTTTCTGTAATCCTGTATCTTAAGGTTCACCTCTGACCAATGAAAGAGTATATTTCGTTGTTCACAAATATTAAGAACAACTTGTTCTGAAACAAATAGGAGACATATCATTGATATGTCAGACATAAAAATAGAGTTTTAACTAAACCGAACTCTTGCTTTTGAAATCAAGAATCTTTCTGAAAATGTCAGTCAAAATATTGTTCCATTAAAAAAAAAGATGATTAAACGTTAATGCAGTATTAAATATAGGCACACGTTTCAATAAACCAAGTAGTTACATTGATTCATCAGAACCTGTGACAATACAGTTCTATAATTGATATTACGAACGGATCTTCCATCAACGACAATACCTTTCAAGAATTTAAAATATATAATATTAATTCATATTTTTCAAACGAAAAAATCTTTAACGCTCTATACACAACGTGGTCACAAGTAAATAGACACCACCTTTTCAGAAAAAATGAAAATTTTCAGTCATA